GCTCGAAGTGAAAATAACACTCTACGGAAATTCTCGCGGCCAACGATAAACTTAAACGCTAAAAACTACATGGAAATAATAAATTTTGACGAGATTCAGATAACAGAACCTCCTCTGTTATCAAAACACAGTAAACAACAATTAGAAAAGCTTGTGGAATCAGCAGACAGCGTCGATGATGATATTTATCATATACCATGTCACACACAAGCCGTCGAAAGGTGCATAAAATTAGTTACCGAATCATCGTTGCATTGTGCTTCTGAAGAAAAAAGAGATGGATGTATAAGAGCTACAATAGCAGCGAGACAAGCATCGGCGTCTACATACGTAAAAAAACAGAACTATTCGTTCCCATTTTGAAATTTTAATGCATTATTTAAATCTAAGTTAATTTAAGTTAATTTCATTTTAATAATAATTTTTATAAGCCCAAAAATTTTTGTTATTTTTCAATAAAGTTTAATAGTGTGTAAGTAACTCGAGTGTTTAATTCATTTTACCTGCAATCTTGTAAGTCAGTAAAAAAGTCTTTATTGGGAATTTTATGCACAATTATTCGAGTACAAAATAAATGTATTTTGGACCGCGATATAAGAGCTTACACGTTTTGCGTCGTAGATTGAGCAATGATTAAAAAAATCGCATACATCTTTACACCGTTGAAAAGGTCTTGAAAAGACGAAAAATTCTGTTACTCGTGCGTCTCAATAGCTAAAAAATTGCGCAACGTACAGCCGTTCGAAGATGAAAAAAAGACAAAAAACTTTTTACGATACGCCGATTTTCAGTCTTCCTTTCGCTATATTTTCACTTCTAAGCTACCTAGAGGGCTAAAATTTTATAGAGAACTTCCTGTTACTATGTAAAACAAGCCCTGAAAATTTCAGCTCAATCGATCAATCCGGCGCCGAGATATTTTGAAAAGATTTCATACTGAAGCATAAAGATATTGTTTTTACGGATTTCAAACTTCAGGCTTCATGCGCTACCTGAAGATATCGTTCATTCGCGCCCTCCTCGCGGCTATTATCGTTTTTCATCTTATACTTTCGATAAATTACTATTAGAAAGCGATCGGCGTCAAAAGTGTTTTTTCGTTCCGCCCTAGTGTATATAGAGGACCCTTAATGGGTTAATGTATAACGATTCGTTTCCCAGCAGAAAACCTAAACACAACGTAGTAAGGGCTGTCTGCGTGTCAGGGTCAGGCCACATAAGATTTGTGGCTTAGGCAACTTTTGCGCCACCTAGGTCGAGCGCCGAGATACCAACTGCGAAAAAAAATGTGAATATTTTTAGGTTCGTTCGAGACTCGAGTGTAAATACTTACATTTTTTTCGCAATTGGTATCTCGGCGCGCGGCCTAGGCGACCAGCGTTGTTGTAACGACCACCAAACATGTCCGCCGCTATGTTTTATCGATTGGACTTTATTCACTTTCTCACTGTAGCCAACTTGTATGAGAGCGGGCAATTTCAAACATGAGGCGATTCATACCAAGCGTCCCAGCGCGGCGGCCGCTTGGTACTTTTCGGCGAAATTGCTTAATTTATAACTCGCCGGAAAACCCTCTGAATGTGCTTAAAAAAACTATGTGAAATATGATTTCGATTGGAAATTTCCTCAGCTTTCCATCTAGACGATTTTTAAAAATCTTAAAAATAATCTTTTTGAGATATCGAAAGTTCAAAGTTTATTTTTGAAAATTTCCGGGGAAAGTGAAAAATTTTTGAAAATCCAACTCCACCATCTTACTTGTAGATGTGTAATTATTAAACAGAAATGAATAATAAAGGATGCTTAAATGTTATCATTAAACAAGAAGCAATGATAGGTTTTAATTTTATTTGGGACACATATAAACAAAAAGTAAAATTCAAGTAAACATTCTTTGATCAACAGCGGACGGTCGATGGTTCGCGGAAAAGGCGACCGACGGCGGCTCATCAAAGTGCATTTTATGGTTGCTTGCTTGAATTTTACTTTTTGTTTATACGTGTCCCAAATAAAATTAAAACCTATCATTGCTTCTTGTTTAATGATAACATTTAAGCATCCTTTATTATTCATTTCTGTTTGATAATTACACATGTACAAGTAAATCATAAGTGACGATATCGTCGTATCCACATGTATGAGTTACAGTATGTGCATTAAAAGGTCCAAATATGGTAGCGCGCCGGCCGCACGGCCCTTTTAAACGAAATTGCTTAATTTCTAACTCACCAGAAAACCCCCTGAACACGCTAAAAAATGTATGTGATAATGGTTTTGATTGGAAATTTCCTCAGCTTTCCGATGGTGGAGTTGGATTTTCAAAAATTTTCCACTTCCCCGGAAATTTTCAAAAATAAACTTTGAACTTTCAATATCTCAAAAAGATTATTTTTAAGATTTTTAAAAATCGTCTAGATTGAAAGCTGAGGAAATTTCCAATCGAAATCATTTTTCACATTTTTTTTTTAAGCACATTCAGAGGGTTTTCCGGCGAGTTATAAATTAAGCATTTTCGCCGAAAAGTACCAAGCGGCCGCCGCGTTGGGACGCTTGGTATGAATCGCCTCATGTTTGAAATTGCCCGCACTCATACAAGTTGGCTACAGTGAGAAAGTGAATAAAGTCCAATCGATAAAACAGAGCGGCGGACATGTTTAGTGGTCGTTACAACAACGCTGTAGGCGACGCAAAAGTTGCCTAAGTCACAAATCTTTTATGTGGCCTAACCCTAAAATATACGCGTCACTTATAACAATAGTTTGCAGGCTTGCATAGGTAGAGCCGGCCCTAACTCGCTCTGTTTACTTTTCCAGAATATTAAGATAATAAATAGGTTCTTAATTTACGATTCCTAATAATCATTGAAAATGGTAAAATTTATAATTGAAAAACATGGAAAAATCGAATACTTTAGCATGAATTTTTCGATTTGTGTTAGTAATTAAATTGAAATTAAGATTTTAAAAAATATGAAAATTTTTGATTTCGGAACTATCCTACAGTTCTACGCAGTTAACCTCATATTTTAGATTTACTTCTTCAAATTTTTTAGATACTCACTTGTAATCACTCGTTACAATCGATGCGATATTTCCTCACAATATTTTTTCAATGTCACGCTGTGGCGTCTTAATGAATACTGACTATTCGCATGCACTGCGATTTCTAGAAGAGCTGGAAAGAATACGTGGCAATTGAGTGCAAATCATGTCACGCTACCTCGTGACTAAAAGGCATAAAAGTAGATTTCAACAATGCAAACAACCTTGAATTTTTTAATATAATTTGAATGGTTTAGGTCAGAAAAAATTATTTAAAATATTATAAATATGTTCCTAGTAATACGGTACAGTATCAAATTCGAGAAATTTTTCTCTTTTTCATCATCAAACCTGAAAAACATAACCTAGAATTTTTTCAGATTTTTTGAAGAAGCCCAACGCACCTTTTAATTCGTTAACGCCCAGGTGGACGGAATTTCATTCTCTTTTGTAGTCTGCAATTAAATAATCTTATTGGAGAGAGAAAAATTCTTGAGCACCTCTTTTTATTAAAATTTTATGTACTTTTGAATATGAGTTTTTAATTAACCTCTCATACACATTAAAAAATTGTAAACAATTTAATGAGAAAAAACACGATTTTGATTCCTGAAAAAAACGTTAACTCGAATACGTAGATTGCTCTGCATGAACAGTTACACATACATTATTTTTCATTTTTCGTTTTTGCCGAAATTTAAATCATAAAAGTACTTTTTGAATTTTGAAAATGACCCATGAGTTCAATCGTCTCACCCGTGGTAGTGATCGTAAGCATTGATGTTCTTAGAAGTGTACTACGCGACCCAGAGTCTGTAGCTCGAAGGGCTCTCTCTAAATAGTGCACAAAGTGATCATAAACACGACTTGCCAGAAAATGTAAAAGAAGAAAAAAATTGACACGTAAAGTATACGAAAAATACTCACGGAAACCGCTGTATCTCGGTGCAAAATCAAAATTTTGGAATTTCAAAACATGCAATGAAAAGGAGAGGAAAAATCCTACTCAAGAATTTAATAAAAAAAATTTTAAGTTAAAGGTGTATATCTGTGGTGGAAAGGACTAACGAGATAACTCCACTTTTTTCGAAATCGAGTTTATGACATGAATTACCTTTATGTTATGTCTACTTTAAGGTACAAGTGTCACAAAAGCTGAAAATAGCACCTATCGTTCAATATAACACAGTGCCTAACGAGATAAGTCCACCTTTTCGAGCTCCAAAATGCGATTAAGAGTCTAAATTGATTTGAAAATGGAAGAAAATGATATTCCAACATACAAATGGCCCTCACACTCTTCGAATGTTGTGAATTTCACAATACAGTTGGTACATTTGATACACGAGGGGCTATTTTCGCGATTTTCAGTGTGGCCTTTTTTCGTTGCAAGATTTGAGATCTGACACCAGTATAACGTTAAATGAGCTATTTTATCAATGTAAAATCATCACATGAGGTTTTGATCACAAACTAAGCGAAATTATCGATATTGAAAAAAGTGTGACCGCAAAAAGTGGACTTATCTTCTAAGCGGGGAAAGGGCTAACGAGATAAGTCCAGTATTATCACTATGATGCGCCTTTCAATTTCATAAGTACATAGTTCAAAATAGGTAAAAATATCATAGGTACAGATCTTTAGTCGTCCGCGTCTAGCTAGGCCCTCGTGCGCAACTTAAAACGCGTTTTTCTCGAAAACACGAAAAATGGAGTTATCTCGTTAGGCCTTTCCACCACAGATATAAACCCTCAAAAGCTTTTCAGGTATAATTTTTAACTATTATCATCATTATGTTAAGGAAAGGTAGGAGTAAGGGATGGTGAATCAACCTTAAGAAATCCGACAACGTACAAAAGATGGTGATGCCCTGTAAGAGAAGACTGATTAAAATAAATAGATAAAGAAGTGTTCAGAGGAACGGGAAGGCAAATAAAAACAAATGGTCGATTTTTTTCCAAAAACAATGTTTTTATTATCCAATGGTAGGTTTCCTCGTAAGTTATAGTTCATCATACATAACAAAAAAGCGTAAACATTTAAAATACAACCGCGGGTACGTATACGCTAGTATATCTTGTGTATAATAATGTCCACTTTATTTCGATCTAATTTATATATATGTATGTGTACCGACTTATGTGACTCGTCGTCGTATTTTTATAGTTAAATGTTCCTATGCGTTAATTATATATACATATATACTTATCTGCGTGTGTGTGTGTGTATACATCATGAATATTTTGAGAATTATTACTCAAGTATACAGTTCCCTTATCCGATTCATATTCGCGTTGGCAAAAATTCATTGCGTTTTTATCGAGTTATTTTCATTACGATTTCTCCGCATGGCTGTGCGCACGTGGTGCTCCGACGCGCTTTTAACAGCGCCTGTAATATTGGCTGCCTCGCGCGCATCAACGTCTTGTATTGCATGCATACGCGCGCTTGCTGTGTACTGTATATTACCTATAAGTATTTTCAGGGCGCCGAGCGAATGTATAATAATCATCATTTTTTTTTTCGCCTCGCTCGCTCACCGAGTCCCATCATTTTATGCACTCACGCACATGCATGCAATTCATTATGTATCGTTGTCGCACTATGTAATTTCTCTCTTTCCCTCTTTACATGTAGCACATGCACACGCACACACACACACGTCGCGTCCTTTCGACGTTCAGTTTAATAATTTGATTTATCATTCACATTTCGCTCGCGGCTTGAACGAGTGCATACCATAAGTAGCGCTTTACGTAATCACAATCATATAATGGGCTTTTCGTGGATTAATTTTTCACTTCTTTTTTTTTTGATTCTCACGCTAGGCAGTCGAATATCGTACATTACACATTAATAATATATATATAATATAAGTAATTGTTTTTCTATACATAAATGTACAAGTGTATTATGGTGTGTGCTTCTGTTGTCCCTGGTGATTCGGGATGGGTGCATATCATTGACGTAATCGATGTGTCTGCCAAGTGTAAAAATGCAAATTAGTGACCGAATTTCAAATACTGCGCTTCAGAAATAAAAATTCGAGCTCGACGTCTATAATAATACTTTAGTTTTTGGTAATTGAGCATTTTCTTTGGCAAAAATAAAGATTGTTACAGAGAGCAACCATGGATCAATTCAACTCCCGCGAAGATTTTTCAATTAATTTTTCAATTTTTTCAAAATTATACACCAATATAATGTCTATATCTGCCAAATGGTGTGTTTCATTGCTTTAATAATCGAGCTTTGCGCAGTCATGGGATAAACTCGACACTCTGCAAGAACTCGGTCGTTCGTCGCTTCAAATCGTGCAGCTCTTTTCACAGCGATTACTTGGGCAATGCTTTAATAATAATCGCGCACCTGCAATTACTCGAATTTTCGTTTAATCTCTCATCACTTTGCAAATGAAAGCATAATAATGTAACAAACTGATCGATTGAGTTTCCGAAGGGGGAGGGCTTGATTTAAATTTTATATACAATAATTGCCGTACATATGCACTTTGGTGTAATTGTTGCTGTTGTTCTGACTTTAACTTTTGTCTATCGCGTTGCTCGTACATGTATGCGTGTGTGTGTGCCTATGTGAATGTGATCTGCCTCAGTGGTGGCGTGGCTTCTCGCGATCCACGCAGCTATAATTGATTGTCCGTGGTCGGCATCCAAAATTTAACAATTAGATGCGTGCAATTTCAAATGTGTACATTAAATAATGACCTCATTACACAAATAACCAACGTTCGTTGCGAGGTAAATTTTCATGCGGCTTCACCAGGACGAGATCACTGGGTAATCGATCATAGTTTAGTACATTGACTGGATGTTTTTAAGTTTTTTTCATTTTTTTTGTTAACATACAAAAAGGGGCGTTTATTTGTAATTGCTTGCAGTGCGTTTCAAAGTATATTATTTATTTATAATATAACAAGTTTTGTTGCGGCATAATCAGTGTATAATATAGATATATACACGGTACACACATACACATAATAATTTAGTATTTCACGTTTTATTGCTTGTTTCTTTATGCCTCGTTTAAATTCACACTTCATTGTAATTATCATTAATTATCAATAATTATTATTATTAATATTTATTATGATATCGTCATTTGCTATTATTATTAATATTATTATTATTATTATTATTGTTACTATTACTATGCATCATACTTGTAGTATTTTGTTTGTTACTTTATACTTTTTTTCTCGCCGTTTTACTTTTATATAGTTGGGCAACGAAGTAACGAATTTCTGGTGGCTTGCCAATTTTAGAATCGGGCTTTATCGTTTCTTTTAGAAATGGATACGTCTGGGATCGACTTACATACCTAGACTTATGACATATACATCGTGTATCTTTGCGTGTTTACACTATTTTACGTATGTAGTATGTGTATTTTATTTATAATATTTACACAACGAAAAACACGCGCTGCTTCGCAAATCATTGGATGAATTTAATGCGTTGTACATTAGCGGGGGCGTCCGAATTCGCATGAATATGCGTCGGCATAATGGCAAATAGAATGTCATTAATAATTGCAGTGCTGTTGGCCATTTCTCGGATCAGAGTGAAGGTGTTTCTTAAATGTTATGATATTAATGGTTATATATAAATATTGCAAGTATTTAAAAAGAAACAATGGAAGAAGCGAACCTTCATTACTCGTACAATGAATATTTTATGCGAGCAGCCTCTCAATAAGGAGGATACGGAAGAGCGAGACGCAGAAATGCGCAGAAGTGCACACGTATTATGCCGTTGACATTTTTGAATATAAGACTTTGCTAGTTCGCTCCTGTATTCCCTGATACGGAACCGAAGCGCAACTCTCGAAAAAAGTAAAACAGCAGTAATAGACCTGCACACGATCGTTCGGCATATGTATATATCAATAGGTATAAGAGCTGTTCAACACAGAAAGTATACTTATAAGTTGCTTTTTCGTTTTTGCTTTGGTTGGCTTTTCTTTAATTTTTTTGTTAGTTGTCGTTCCGTGACGCAACGTGTTCGAGCGAGGAAGCCACCCGCCAAGCTGCGTTTATGTACTCGGACGAGATATTTTTCAATGCCAGAACGTGATGGAGTTCGTCCGAAAGAAAGCTGTAAGTCAGGCCTAGCCAGCTCACTCGTACTCTATATATATATATACAACACACTGCACACATTTATCCTATTCGTTTATACATCTACTTTTACCTACCTATCTACTTATATCTATCTGTCTATCTATCTAACTATCTATCTATATACGATGTATATGCGAGTATACGGCATCGCAGTGAGAAGCTATAAGTAAGGATTAATGGCATAGCCGGGAGGGCTTCGAGACGACCAAACAAACTCGACGTATCTGGCCCGGTGTGTTGCTTTTCCGCTTACAGCAGCGGCAGCGGCGTACAGCTTGGTGTAGTTAAATGCAATGTAGCAGGTGTATCGAGATTAAAGCTCGTCTCCTTCTCCCTGCAATCCTTCCGTGCGCTGCCCTCCCTGACGCGAGCCTTTATACGTACTGCCGCCGCCGCCGCCGCCGCCGCCGCTGCTGCTGCTGCTGCTGATGCCACGAGCTACCGCAGAGGCCTGTCTCGCCTATTTTCGCCAATCACGCCGTACTCGACAATATATATAAGCCCATGGCGCAACGATTACGAGGACCAACCGATCCATCTTCAGTCTCGAATAGCGCCTCGAAATAACGCACAGCTCGAGCCTCGGCCTGATCGATTTCTATAATATATGTAATCGTCCGCATCGATCGGCGGACGCTCTGAAAAAAAATTGAGACGTTCGACGTGACGGGCCAATTTGCTGATTTGTACCGCAAGCTTCGATCGTTTATTTTTTTCGTTTATTTTTTTTTTCACTTCATCCGTCGTCAATACCAGCAGCCATTAGCTCATAAAGCTCTCTATTTAACAGGAGGCGCGCTCGAGCTTTGATCAGCCCCCCGTGCGCTATATGCAGCTATCAAGTATGCTCGATTAATTTCCCTTTAGCTTCATCGCGCGCGCTCTCTGACTCTTGAATTCTCAATAAACATTTATATCTGTATACTTCCAGTTGCTCGAGACGTATACACGTCGTTTTTAATTATTCCCGATTTTATAGAGACGTAATTTTATTGCAAGCCAACAAGGTGAAACGATCGATCGAGTGCGCTACTGTTGCTGCTGCTGCTTCTGCTGCCCCAAGACACGCACCGCACGCGCATACGCACAGTCACACTTGCAAGCACGGCTCAGCTTTTTATGTATATTATAATATACTTCTCCAATGCAACATATATATACGTATAGAATGGGTTATAAAATTGCAAATCCAATTAGCTTGGCGTTGCCGAGAGCGAACGTAAAATTATATTTATACATTTCTTTCCGTTTCCTCATTGTTACGGCGCGCCGATCCGATCGTAACGCGTTAATTGAGTGAATAATACACATTTATACGAATCTTTACATATAATAATTGTATGCGTACGTTTACGTATTTTTTTTCATATATACAATAAAGTTTATGATTTTATTTACAAACAGTATGTACAGAACCATAAATTGTTCGTCATTAATTAATGCATCAGCATTTTCACCACTTCTCCAGTTTCTTTCTCGGCGCAATAAAAATAGCATTCATAATAAATAAGTATATAATAACAATGTAACAATAGTAAAATAAATGATAGGCAATAACATTAATTAGTATTTTAATGATAATAAAATAAATAACGATAATAACAATATTGATAATAGTAGATAGGGTAAAAGTTAATACCGGCTTTTAGATTTGTTTGTTATTGTAATGGTTACTCGATAATATAGTAACTCTCGGATATTGCTAAGACATGCATTGATACAGCTCATGGAACGCTCTTGATTCACGTCGTAATATACTGCTCGCGCGCATCAATATTATCGTTTCAATTGATTGAAGCGAACGCACATACATACACGCACACGCACGCAGACGCATTTTGCCCACGATTCAATTACGTTCAACGATTAATAGTCATTCATGTACGATTTTCATGGAGTACTTTCATATCAAAATATTTACTGACACGCAGATGTAGCGCGCAAAATGAACTAATGAAAATTCCGATAAACTTTCCGCTGGCTTTTATTTCTGTTTGTTTGTGGCTCTGAAGATTAATGCACGCGCGCGAATAACAACGCACTGTGCCCATTACAATTCGCATTCGTATGTACGCACACATTTTTGGGATGCACTCGAGACCGACACGTAAGCAAGAGAAAAAAAGAAGAAAAAAATTAAAATACGTTTTTTTTTACAACCGTTTCGTGTACTCGCCGTGGATGTGCAAGCATTATCGAGTGTACATAACGTACATACTAGTTCGAATCGTTCCGCAAATGTACATACACATACCAGGCACGCATATACGTATACACATGTATATAATATCGCGAGAGAATTGCGCGTCGCGAGGTTTAGCTTGTGTATATATACCTATGCAGCTTCCGCGGCGCGCGGGTAATCTCGAATCGCGCACTCGTGCGACGCGTATAACGCGTAAATATATATATATACGGGAAAATCCCTTTGGGAAATCTGCGCGTGGGATTTAGAATTTAGAGTTGGAAATCTCGAGCCTCGAGACGTGTGTGCGTGTGTGTGTGTGTGTGTGTGTGTGTGTGTGTATATATATATGTGTGTCTGTGTGTCCGTGTGTCGTCGAAGCGGGCTGCGTTTGCGATATTCCGAGCCCATGACTAACTGTACGTTCGATACATTACAATATACATTCATTTATTTATTTATATTTATGTGCACGCTCGTATTTTATATATAAAAATAGTTTAAAGATGGAATTCCAGAACAAAAGAAGAAATGATCGGGATCCGGAGCGATGATGCTATATAATAATACGTTTCAATAGCATCGGTGATAGTTGCGACAGCAGCTTTTTCAGACAACAACGGCAGCGACTTGCAGCGATCGCGATGCTGCTGCTTTTTCCGTAAACAGGCGAGGTCGCGGAGCTGCCAGCCGAGGCAAAAAGACGTGTACACGAGAGACGCGCAAATTGAGCAAATAACGACAAAGTGCGTATGTATATTTACGCAGACTTTTACTTATGTACTTATACATAGGTATATAGACGCGCACGGGCAGTTACTTTATGCGCGCACACACACACACACGCACGCATGCACGCACGCTATCTCACAGTTATAATAGACTTGCTGCAGAGTCGGACTTGCATAATCACATAAACACAAACTGACAGACACAATCGCAGAGTTGGCGTGGCGCATAGCGTACACACAGTGACGACGAATAGACGACGAAATAGACGAGTAGTCGAACAGCGACGAAACGATGCGTATTTTTTTTCTCTCTCTTTCTTTCTACCTCTAGGTATATATAATGTATATTATACGTTTAGTTTACGTACGCCAGCTTACAAGCTAACTTTGGCAATGTGCGTTTTCTTTTTTCTGTTTTCTATTTTCCACTCGTGATTGTGAAAACGAGTATAATGGTTGTATACTCGCGCGATGACGGTGCACACCCACACTCTCACATGTACACACACACATACACACACTTTGACGTACATGCACTCGCGCAAGCACACGATATACATATAATTTATCTTATTACTGGGGTGTCGATACTGCTGGATTTGTCAATGGATTGCTTTGTAATTAAGTCGCGCCATTCTACTGCACTCATCGTCGTCGTCATCATCATCAACATCGTTGGCCCATTATACTCGCGACAACGTGAGTTACACAGAGTTCTTTGACGCGCAGCTACGAATATCCGATGGTGCGCCACACAGCCGAGTTCCGCAATTGGAGTAGTATAAGAAGTAGTCGTCGAGACGGATGCAACTTTGCGTCGGTATGTTATTCGCATACGTACGACACGTGTCTTTCTATATATATATGTGTAATTCTCTCTCTTTCTTTCTCTCTCTCTCTCTCTCTTGCTCTCTTTCGCACAGCTTAAAATCTAAAGTTCCTTTGTTCTCAGAGACTACTGCCGAAGTCGCTCGACGTGCGCCGGTCATTGTGCTTGATGTAGGTTTCTGAGTATATACTCTTCGTTCGGTCGTCGTACCTGCAAAATAAACATCCAAAACGGACAAAACCATCATGTTATAGTCATATCCACATTTATTATAGATGATTGGAAAATAGAGAAGTAATAATACATTCTCCATGCAACGTATGAGTAAATCCCACGATTTATTGTAGTTAATATTTTGATATCTTATAAATATCGCAACTGAATGGCGGGCCTCGTTACCCAAGCTTTTTACACTCTCGAGAAAATTTCAACTGGATTTTTAATATTTTAGCAATTAAATCGAAAAATCCCATAATCCTGAAAGGTACTATGGTAAATCTTTACGAAATTATCAAAAATAACAATTTTTGATTAGTAGAATCAAGTACAATTTTAATTTTCAGCGTACGTACATAGCAAAAAGTTAAATACAAAATAAACATGGACTTTACCACGACCGTTGCTTAATTTAAGTTGAATTTTGAGCTGTACTTTAGAAAATTTTTATTAAATGTTATAATTTATTTCTTTAAATTGCCAAAAATGACGCTCTTTACAAAAAGTAGCAAATTTTAACTCTCTATAAAGGGCGCCGAAAAATTTATCATAAACACTAGGTCAAAAAATGGAAAATATTCCGTAAAATTTCTCAGGGAATCGAAAAAGTTTAGTTTACCATTTATAAATTTTTGGGCGTTGTTCAAACCAATTTTTCTTCCCTTTTTCACATTACCGTAATATGAATTTTTTATCTTATTTAACTTTGCTTCATATCCTCAAAAGCGCCATACGAATTTGATGAGAGTTATCATATATATAAAATAAGCGTGTTTTCAAAGCAAAATCGATTTTTAATTTGCAAAATATGAAAATATCTCGGGATTCACTCATATGCTTGTCTTATGCGGTTCAGCGCTCTCCGTCAAAGGAGACACCATTCACTATTCTGCTGGTGAATTTACGTTTTCAGGAGCAGAGATCGTGGCATGGATTCCTCGAGCTCTCCTGCGCACTCCTCTTGTTATCGATATTATGCTGAAAGCCTACACCTTTTGCGCGCTTATCGGCGTACCAGTAGTAGCAGCAGTGACACTGCCAGCCAGCCGCAGCGGCAGCGGCTCAAGCTGCCTTTCAATAGTGAATCGTGCTCCAATGATTTCGCTTCGCAAGTCTATACAAATATGTATACTACTCCGTCTACGTTCCATCTATCTACGTCATTGTATTTTTTTTCTCTTTTTTTTCTATAAAGCAATGCGGTTATGCGTGCGACTCTCGTCGCGTTGATATATAACATATAATCGCACACTCACACACGTGCGACATTGCTCTCACAGCTGCATGTGCTGGCGAAAAAAAAATCCGAGAAAAGCTGACCGACTGATATTCATAATGTGTATATATATTGCGAAGCTCGGCCGCGACGTTATCAAGTGGCCCACGCAGTTTTCTTGCGACTCGAATGCGCAATTCGTTTGGCTTTTCAGAGCTCTATGCGAGAACTATATACGATATATATAACTGCCACCGACCGATACGTTTCATATAAATAGCATTATAGCGTGTAATAAAAAAATCATTTTCTCATCCGTAGATTTAATTCATTTTTTTACGAAGTATAACTTTTATTGAATTAAACGGCGGATCGATCGATCGATCGTTTCAGACGCGCTCGTTCGGCTTTGCATTGATCAAGTCGTTTGATTTATTTATGTCAAATATCATAATACGGCGTAAACGCGCAGGAATAAAAAAGTTACAAGCTTATAGCGAACGTCGAGACGACGACGACGGCGAGGAGGGCTTTTGTTAACGGGCCGGTCATTGGTATAGGTATAGCTCGCACGTTGTTATTTCGTCATTAACAGCGACCTCCTGGAGGGCCATTGCTGAAAGATAAGTAAAAGAGATATTCCCTCGAGCAAGGTGCACGCGCCCCGATCGATACTTTAGTCGAGCGCGCGCGGCCAATAAGGAAGTGACCTTAATGTTGTTTTAGAGCTTCGCGCACACACACGCTCGCGCGTTTGCATTATGCACATATCGTATCTCGTTCGCAGCTGTGTGTGTGTGTGTGTGTAAATGTACGTGGATTCGCTATTTTGGATACGTATATTAGCCAGGACGTGTAGCAGCTCTCGCAGCTATCGTATAATGCGACGTTTTAAACGCTTTACAACGCGAAATTATTTTCGAAAGATCGCCCAGCACAATCGATCATGCGGGAATGGCTGCAGTGCGCGCGACCAAGCGTATACAGCAGCTAATATCTAGCCTGCTGGTGCGCAGATGTTTATTCGGGCATTGGGATATTGGATGGACCATGTGTACAAGAGGAGAGCCTAGCTTACGAGGGGCTATAAGGTCAGCTTGAATGCGAATAAAATCGAGGGTATATAAAGATAGAAAAACGAGCATGCCACAGATTATTTAGCAGTATAAAAGCAGCAACAAGCACCTTGTCATCTCACCTGAGCGACGGCCTACGAAAGTCCAGGGCCTCGAGGTCCGAGGGCTCGCGCCTGCACAGCGAGCAGAAGGCGCACTGCAGAGTGTTCTTGAAGGCCTCCCTGAAGTCCCTATTGAAGTAGGCGTAGATGAGCGGATTGAGGGCCGAGTTGGTGTAGCCGATCCAGAACAGTATGGAGACGACGATGTCGGGACAGGGACAGGTGTCCGGGTCGCACAGCGACGTTATCACGTACCAGAGGAAGAAGGGCAGCCAGCACAGTATGAACGTGCCCATGATGATGCCGAGGGTGCGGGCCGCCTTGTGCTCGCGTTTCATCTTGATGATGTTCTTGTCTTTGGTCGGCGTGTGCAGATGCTCCACCGCCCCGCTCACCTGTGCATTTGACATTGTCATTCGACGTTTCATTGTGTATTCGTAGCGAGGAGTGCTGTATATAGGCTCTTACCTCGTTGAGCGTGAGGGTCCTCGAAGATCCGCCGCCACTGTTGAGCTCGCCGTTCACGTTGTTGAGATCTCGACTGGGCCTGTGGCTCAGCAACATGGCCGTGCCCATGCGACTGTGCATCTGCTTCTCTTGTTTATTGGCCTCCCGGAAGATGGCCAGGTACGTGAGGGTCATTATCGTGCATGGTATCCAGAAGGATATGCTCGACGAGAGCATCGCGTATACTTTGTTGACCTGTGTCCGCGGCGCATAGTAACGATTACTCACATATATTATACTCGAGGCACATTTGTCGCAATTCATTTATTCATTTAGTATATAGGAGAGAGAAAGGAAAGATGGACTCACCCGGAAGATGCATTGGTCCGGATTAAGATGTCGAAACTGATCGTTCTCCTCGGTGGTGTACCAGCCGTTGAAGATGGGCACGAAAGATATGATGGCCGGCGAGATCCAACACGAGAGCAGCATGTACATGGCGACGCGCTTCGTCATGCTGATCGGGTAGCTGAGGGGCTTGACGATGGCGTAGTAGCGGTCCACCGAGATGAACATGAGGTGGAGGATCGAGCTCGTGCTGAAGTACACGTCGAGCGAGTTCCACACGTCGCACATGAAGTAGCCGAAGAGCCACTGGCCGGTTATCTGGACGCTGGCGTTGAACGTCATGGCGAACATGGCCACGAGCATGTCGGCCAGCGCCAGCGACACCACGAAGTAGTTCGTGATGATGCGCAGCTTGCGGTGCCTGATCACCGAGACCATAACCAGCAGATTGCCGAATACCGCCGTGGCGATTATCGTGCCCAGGATGCAGCCCAGTAATATTGCCCTATTGACAAACGGAGAAAGAGGTTGTTCAGCGACTTGGACGATTCGAAAGCCGAGCTGCGCGATATGCGCTACGAACCTGGTCACGTCGATGGGCTCTTCGCCGTCGGTGCGCGTGTGGTTCGCCCCATCGAGAGACAAGCTCGAGCCGTTGAAGCTAGCCGAGCTATTGGCGCCACCCGTCAGCGATTGCGATACCATATTTCCGCTTGCCGACTCGTCCGAAAGTCGAGCTGCAGCTTCGTCGTCGTTGGCGCTGGTCTCGTCCTCGTATTCGCTGCTCTTTCGCTCGTGCCTCGCGCTCGTCGCCTGCGTCCTCGCTATTCTCCTAATCGTCAACGGAGTCGTCGACGTCGTCGTGGCCGTCGTCGTCGTCACGGCCGTCGCTACTCTGGCTTGTCGCTTCTTCGCTTGTCCTGCAAAATGGATATCGCGTCCAGTAGCTGCTGCTGCTGCTGCTTCTGCTGCCTCGGAGCTGCTTTCCGTTTGCTCGAACTCGTTGACTTGGACTACACTGAGAAAAAAAATTCATTGATTCAATGAAACGTTTAATTGAATACAATCTATGAAATAATTCATTCATTCAACAAAATATTTAATTGTTTTTACCAAAGTTTCATGAAAACAATTAAATATTTTGCTGAATGAAATAAAAAAAGATTATTTCAATGAAATTATTTCATAGATTGTATTCAATTAAACGTTTCATTGAATCAATGAATTTTTTTTCTCAGTGTAGGGGCGAGGGCGGCGCCGCCAAAGCTGCCAGCGCTGCTGCTGCTGCTGCTGCTGCTGCAGTTGCTGCTGAGGATGATGATGATGTCGATGTCCGCTCGGCCGATCTCGGCATGCTCCGCGTCTCGTGCCGAGACGACTCCTCGGCTCCAGCCAAAGCCTCGGCGCCCAAAGGAGCTCGGCTCCAAGGCAATTCACCTACTGCTGCTGCGGCCGACGTTACTGCGTACTGTGAACATCGTTTAGCCACTTTAAATTCGATAGGTTGACGCGATGGCATCGCGAAATAATTGTTTGCAAAGGTAAGCTGCGAAAAAAGTTCAATACAAAAAGGAATGAAAAAAAGAGCGTCTGACCTCTAAGTGACGGACGAGCAGTCCGAATGTGGCCTCGTCTTCGAAGTGCTGGTCCCGACGCGCTGCCCGTTGGCCACCGGAGCTGAGCCACCGACTGCTCTCGGTCGGCCGTCCATGATGCTGGAGCCCGGGCGGTTGGAGGCCGACGAGCGCGGCTACCGATACCGCCGCCGCCGACGATGGCAACGAGAACCTCCAGGCGGAGGACGGCTCGGCCGGCCCTCGGTGATCGACCTCGACGAGCCGGAAGCCGCCGTTGTCGTCGACGTACTTGTAGCCGCGTTCGAGGCTGTAGTCGTCGTCTTCGGGCCGATGGCCGATCCCCTGGACCTGGGCGACGAGCAGCAGCAGAAGCAGCGCGAGCAGCAGCAGCAGAGGCAGTAGGGGCTGCTGCAGCCCGAGCCCGAGCTGGCAGCCACCGAGCTGGCCGCTGATCGTAATCGGCGCTGGTGGCCGCGGCTGCACCACCGCTGCCGCTCGCGAACGGCGCCGATCCAAGCTTCTCTTCTGCTCTTCTGCTGCCAGTTCAGCTAATTTCCTCGGCTGCTGTCGTCCTAGCTCGTCGGTGATGCGGCCTAAGACGGCTCTCTCGGCTCTGGCAGGGCTGCGGCCGCCGTCTGCGCCGTCACCGCCACTGCAGCCGCGGCTCCTCGCCTTTGGCCGCTTACCGCTGCGACCTGGCGGCCCGATGTCGCCTCCTTCACCTGCGAAACCAAGCACGAGAGCGTTTGCATTATTTTCTTGTGCGTGCGTGCGTGCGTGCGTGTGTGTGTTGCGATTAACGATCGTTAATTATACGCGCCTCGAAAGAATAATTAGCGCACGGCCGGGGCGCGGTATCGTGCGGTTCCTGCAGCGGCGCTTCCTATCGCCGTCGCAATATTATACCGACGTGTATACTTTGAGCGATCGTTTGCTTTAAACAGCGCAAAGCACGAGTGCAATTAACAAACTTTGTGGCCAAGACAGTTTAATTACTTTCGCGTTAAACGATAAACCCTGGCGCGCGAGCGAGCAAAGAGCCTCTTTGGAAAACATCGTATCGTCATAATCGCTGGAGCATCTTATCTGACTTTTATAATTCTTCGTAGTTTCGTGTACGTGTACTCGATGTAAAACCCGCACACCGAGACAATTATTATTACGCGTATGTATATTTATCGTACACGTCAGTGTAGCTGTCATATATATTTTCACATTGGCTCCTTTCATGCGTGTACACGAAGACCCGAGCAAACTGATTCAAGGTCAAAATGACAATTTCTCTATTCGTCGATCGCGCTTAAACGAAGGATAACAGTTGTCGTTGCGTCGAGTAGGAGATTTCCGTTTTTCTCTCGATTTAGGGTGTAATTAATCAAACGTATTACGTATAAAAGACAGCCTGATGACTGTTGAGCGAGATAGTCAATTTGTTTTCATTTTATTGCGTGAAATTTATCAGCGCGAATCGGCACTGAATTTCTTCCTCGTCTCTTTACTATGCTCTTCGGGCGCGCGTAATAAGAGAGAAAAAAAGTTACTTTCATTTATTCAAGCGAATTCAATCGGACGTCTCCAGGGGAGGTCGACGATCCGCATTATATTAACTGTACTATGGACTCGGCTATAGACTGGAATCGTTGCGGGATCGACGCGCGCGCGCCCCCGTTCAAAATGCAGATGAAATTTTCATCTGGTCTGCAGTCAGCTTGAGCTTGCAACTTCGCCTGGGACGTATAATATTTGACTCCGTGCACTTGCACACGAATATATAGTTGCAGTGTGTACACCTTAATCAATAACCGCAGCTGTGCACCACTTCAAAGCGCGCACCATTTCATGAATGTTTAGAGAGTCTCTTCTCAGTGTTTCGAGGCACTTCATCATCATTGTGCTATGCTATAGATTTTGTATATGGGTCGTCCGCCAAAAAAACTTGCAGTTTCGAACTTCACGACTGACAATTATGAAAAAGTAAATAAATAAATGGGACAATGCCACCCACGTTATTCCGTAGTTACTGGAAGTTACAATAAGTTCTTGCATTCTGTCCCTATAGGTTATTTATGTGCAGGCAATGCAGGCGAGTTTGTACGCTAAAAGTAAGTATCGTTAGAAGTCCGCAATTCATTTTCACTTTAACAAAAAAGCCCTGTCATTTTGAATTTGTCATTTCCATCCATGGAACTTCAAACTACAGGCAATTATTGCACAACTTTCAGTGTAGAAACCCCTAGATGAAGTCTCTTTGGGGGAAAAATGCTAGTCAAACTTTTTTCAACTTTAAATTGTTTGAGTTATACATTTTATTTTATGTGCGTAGAGGACTTACTCATTCTATAAGTTTTACATTTGTTTACTGTTTTCAAAAGCAAAATGAAGATAAAAAAGTATTCGGCAAGCGGAATTAGAATTTCGAAGGTGGGAACCGAATCTCCTTTGAAAAAAGCCATTTTTTTACCAATGACCCAGATAATTGTCAAATGAAATCTCAAAATCGTCCCAAATTGCGTTAAATATAGTTGGGCGCTTTAATGGATGACCTGAATTTTCGCATGTATACGAATTGGATTTGAGGCGTAATTCGCGTGGGAAGCAATCGACATGTGTAGCAGCAGCGATCCCTAGCCTCCGGCTCGATGAGTCAGGTAAGAACAATCAGCGAAGGGTGAAATTTGCCGAAACAGGCGTGTGACGACCTTAGCCCATGGGGAGAGAGGGAACGAGGCACAGGATAAGCTCGGCACCGTGATACGGCGTGCGAGCTGCGGTCATCGTATATAACTCTCTGCGGGCAAAGATCAATTATTGAAGAAAGGAGCTTTCGGCTAGCTGACCATCATGTGGGTCATGGGGCGAAGTTATACTCGCATCGCATGTATACATCACACAAGTGTGTGTGTGTATTATACGGACATGAGGCGCACGATGTATTATAATGGTTCGCAAGCGTGCAGCATTCATTAATAATTCGAGGCTAATGAAATAAAGTGAGCGCGCGGCTAATCGGATCTCGGTTAACCAATGTAATCTGACTCGCGGATTAGTACACGATTATGCGGCTTCTTCGGAGTCGTCATTCTATCTATATATTATATCGTATAGATATATTTGCCCGCCGCTCTCTGATGTGCAGTCAAAGTTGCACCTCCCTCCACGTACGGTACGAACTAAGAGCAGACACACACACACACAATAGCAGGAGACGCGATCCTTTGAGAAGCTGCCAGCTCCAGCCCGAGCTTTTTCGAGCCTTCGTACATTCTAATCGCGCGAGAAAAGTCGACCTTATGTATATTCGTGCACGGCAAAGCCCGCTTTTCACCTTTTCCTTCGTTGTTTTTATGCCGCTGTTTTATCTTGTTTAACGCCGTTTGAAATTAATTTATACATATAAGCGTGGGACATGCATAAAGTCAAGAGGGGCGGCGGAATACGTTGCATGACAAGTGCGTGGCACGCTGCTCTTTTCTTTATTCTTTTTCTTCGAGCCCTCAAAAATACGCGATTCGTTATGTAGCAACTTCAGCGCACACGCTGTTTACCTGCGAGGCAGTAAACTGAACTTTGATGAGATATTTCTCAAGTTTTCATTGGACTGGCGTGAGCAAGAGCGAGTGCTGCCTCTCGACGACATTTTCCAAGTACACACAGTACAAAGTACGCGAGAGCGTACATAGATGCGAGTGTGCAAAAGTCTCTGTGCTGCTGCTGCTGCTGCTGACGCGACTATATGCGAGTCGACCCACGCTCTCGAGTCTTGCGCGACCGTAAAGCAACAGCGTTGCATGCACATGCAGCAGCAGCAGCAGCAGTGCCGCGCCGTCGCTGCCACCTCTCTCTCTCTCTCTCTTTCTCGTCGACTCTGAGGCGAGGCAACTATTTACATTATGGAAATATGAAAAGAGCGCGCGCCCGAGCTTGTTCTTGCCAGGCAAAGTCTATACGTGCACATACATAGTTATACTTACTCGCGTCACATATACATATATACATACTTATGCAGGTATAGGTACGCAAAGCTAGCTAAGCTCCAGCCCCGTGTGGCCGTGTATGCGTCAAATTCACTGAAAGATATTTTCAAAAGTTTTCCCGATCTACGTAGTCGAGAATATCTCTTGGCGTCAAAGGTCACGCTCTACTTTCACTACTTTTTTTTCCAACCCCCCTTCAGCGCCGCCGCCACCCTCTCCCCGAGCTTTTGCGCCAGCTCGAAGAAGAAGAAGAAAAAACCTGCACGCGAGGCCTTAAATTGCCTCTTCTTTCGTGTCGACGTCTAAGTATATATATGAACTGCTGAGTGTGTGTGTATGTATTGCAGGAGCTGTGGGTTTTGTGCAAGTTGAGGAGCATTTCGGACGCGAGCTTGCTCTGGACTAAATGTACGTAGACTTGACTAATTTATGCTATTTTGTGGAATTTTGGACAAGTGTAAAGCCAAGAAAATATAAGAGAAAGAGACAGACATAGTAAGGGAGCTGGGCAAAGAAGAAACAGCTGAAATGTTTGCCCAGGATTATGGAGATTTATGGAAATGAAGTGGCAGACTGAATTGGGAATTACAGCAACAAAGCCAGTGAGTTGGATTTTTGAGGAATTACCCAGAACTCGAGCTTCCTCCTCGAGCTCGGAGATCTCGCAAAAAGTGACCAGCGCTCCGAAGCGCGCCCAGGCATTGTCGCATCACGACAATGAAACGCCGCGTGACAGCGCGAGCTTGCGAGAGAGCTTCAGGCCGCAAAAGCTCTCGAGCAAGTTTGCACGCACTGCGCGCAGATAAACAATTCGAGACGTTCGAAACAGTCCCTCCTTAGATAAGAATCGCGGATATTTTCTCGAGGAACGACATGCTCCGAATCGGCCAAATAGTTATATTATACTGTAGATAGCCTCGCTGGAGTCTCGAATGTCCTCGGAAGCTCGCTCATTCGACCAATCTAATGTCTGCGGAGAGATGTAACCCCCAGGCTTATGTACACATAACAGAAAAGTGTGCGCGTGTATGTATGTGCACTGTGTGTTCGTGTGTTGTGTGGGCACTGGAAGTGAAATATGTGATGAGAATGCAGCCAGTGATGTACGAGCCGAGCTCATACTGCGGCTGGGCCATAAAGTCAAGCCCAAGCAGCCGAGCCTGTCAGTGCCAGAGTCTCGGAGTCGAGATGAATATAGAATGGAATATACATCCTATACAATACGCTCGAACGCGAGCAGCTCTCGAAGCATACATACATACACACACAAGCTGCAAACCAACAACGTGAAATCGTTTGTTTAGCGCTGCTTGATTTTTTTTTCTCCCAGCCAGGAGAAGCGCGTGAGTGCGGATAACATTTTAATAATGCTCGTTCATATACGCGGCGCATATATCGGGTGCTTTCGCGTAGAGCTTGCGAGCGACGCGGATAAACAGACAGCACAAGTTTGCGTGTGAAGAATAGTGCCACGCAGCCACCGACTTTATGTTATGTACTAACGACGATAGCACATACGCATACACACGGACACACAGCAGCGTAAATAGCGAGATCTGGCGACACAATCAAGTTGGATTATCAGATCGGGAGAGCAGCCAAGAGGATTATATCTCTAGAGTAGACTAGCACTGCTATGTACCGTAGCCGCGTATTCTCTGGCTTTTGCGTGTAATACTTTTTTTCTTCTTCTCCCCCCTTCCTTGCAGCTCCCCGACTATATAACACGCCGGAGCCCGAAGAT